CCGGTTTTTTCGATAGACTCAAAATTTTGGATTTTATAATGATTTTCCCAAAAAAGTCAGTTTTTTGAAAAAATTTAGGCCAAAATCCAAAATTTTCAAAAAACCGAGATAGCCATTTGATAGACAAAGTAAAATTACGTATAACCTTTTTTGTTACGTCTTGATTCCTTTAAAAATGAAGATGTTAGCGGTGTTTGAACTTTTGCCGTTTTTGAGGCGAAAATGGCGAACATGACGTCACTAAAACGTCAATTTCTCAAAAAATTTCCGACGGATTTCGCTCAAATTTTCAGGAAATGTGCCAAATTGATGTAAAAAAAGGTACTGAAAGTTTGGCGGCGCTGCGCGCCGCCGTTTTTGAGATATCGCAAAAATTCGCGAGGGGGGGTAAAATTTACCCCCCCCCAGCCCCGCGCGGGTTAATGTGTGTATAGTGCTTGTATCCACCAGCTGCAATGTTTAAATTGGTTCTCTTTTCACAATGGAGTTGCAGGTGGGTAGCTTGAATGGAATGAATGAGCAAACTGCTCACTGCCAGGCGCGTAACCACCACTGGGGACACTGGGGACCGGTCCCCAGTAACTTTTGGGTTGCTGGGGACCGTCCCCAGTAAAACCGACGACCTCCTCAATTTGCTCAAATAGCCAAAAAGCTGGAACAGCTACTCAGTGGCCCAACAGACCGAGCAAGCCTGGACAAAGTTCGCAGTTCGTTAGAATGGTGGCCCGAGGAACTCGAGGTGGACAACTTGTCCAGTCAGGTGCGCGTGTTCCTGTCGGGAAGACAGGTCACGTGCCTCAAGCACGCCAAGGAGGCCTTCCAAAGCTTGAGTCATGACGCCTGATCTCTCCTCCCATGCAAGTCGAGCAGCTGCTGAGGCAGCTGACGGTGTTGCCAGCAGCATCGGCTACCGCAGAGCGAAGCTTCAGTGCCTTGCGTAGGCTGAAAACATGGATGCGGTCTACACTGAGCCAAAGGCGTCTGGACGGAGTGGCTATATAATGCATGTGCACCGTGACCGCGTGCAGGTGCAGCCCACTGAGGTGGCTAAGGACTTTTTGGCTTTGAACGCGTCTCACCGCCACACATTTTAACCCTCGCCCTGGTAGGGGAGAGGGTCGATTCGATGCGACCCCCCCCCTCCGAGTTTTTTTTTGCGTTGCGCGCCGAGCTATCAGTCGGATCGTGCTGAAATTTTCGACAGCTCTGGGACATCTTTTGCTCAACTTTTGGTAAAAAAGCAGTTCCGGGTCATGTCAGGTCACCGAGCTATGACGTCATAATAGGTATCACCTCTGACCGTTTTTGACAAAATCGTACGTACCGTAACTGGACGTGATCTCATCGACAAGAACGAAACTATTCCGTGTGATTTGTCAGAATTTGACTGGAAATGAATCTTCACATTGTATGTTGACCTTTCTAAGATCAACCAATGTAATGACCTCGCATGTTCGCACACTGACCTCCGTGATATGAGCCGTGTTTAGTGGCGTTTCTTGAGGTCCTGAACCCGAATCTGTGGTTCAGTTTCCCCTAAATGCCTTCAAAACTGTTCCTTGACCTTTACAAGGTCAACCAAGGTCAATTACCTAGAATGAACTTCCGCCGGCGACCATCCTCGCCGGCAGCGGGCGTGACTTTTCGTGTTCCCGGGGAATACGTCACGCCAGTAATGACTGAAATGCAATCAACTTTACATCATTTTGTTGCTGATTCGTTGAAAGACGCGGTCGTGAGAGTTTCATGTGGCTATCTTTCATAGATTCGCCAATAGGTACTGGCTAAGTAATTTGGAAGATTATAGCTTTTCCCGGAAATTTGACCTTTGACCTGCCTGCCAAGCCGCGTTATGAAAAATGCGCTGCCAGTGCGAGGCTTAAGATCTTTTTAAAGTTAGATTTTATTCTTAACAATTTTCCACCCTTCCCACGTATCTCATCCCACACCTGAAATATAATATTTGGTCTTCGCGGCCTTCCATGTGGTCCCCAGTAGCTTCAGACTCGTGGTTACGCGCCTGCTCACTGCAGAGTGCAGCAAGAGCATTGTGTTGCATTGCATCAGCAAGTAGCAACTAGCAATCATATAGACTGACTAATAATGTTTATGAAGGATTAGGCAGAAGAAGACTTGCACTTCATGTAAGTTTGTTGTAATTCTACATGTAGTTACAATAGGTCCATGTGTTCATTACAGTATTGTATCAGCAGATTTGCAGTGTTGAATCAGTCTCCAAAGCATAGCTGCATTGACTTTGGTAAGGACAAAAGGCTGACAGTGCAGATTGCAGATATAAGTCCTGGCCCCATGCAAGTTTTACCATTCTTTACAGCTATCTAAACATGCATTCAAAACAAATGTTTAGCCAGCCATCTCAATTATTTTCAAATTTTCTGCAGCAGTTAACCCTTTTCCTTCTTCTGGCTTCCCTATCAATTTTGATACAATATTATCAAGTGTCAACACAGAAAAGTATCAGTACTCAGTAGGTCTTGTAGAATATGTCCAGATTTTAAGAAACAATGTATAACATCCAATAACTTTCCATCAAACCAGAAACTGACCCAGCTCTCTGACAGTGACAGGTGATTTCTTGTTGGTGCCAATTCGCAGGTCAGAGATGTTGGAGCCGACAGTGGGCACAGTGGTGTGCAGTTCGGTCAGAGCCTGGCCGCTCTGCAGGCGCTGGATTAGTGTGGTTTTCCCAGAACCAGACGGACCCACCACCACCAGCATACCAGTTATCTTGTGGCTTCACCCTGTAAATTATGAACACACAAAAGGTTAGCACTGCAAAATGACTCGAGGCCAGTTTGATAAATGCAAATATCATGAGCTGCATTTACTTTTAAGCCTGAATATCATACACTAGTCTAGCCACCCTCATGACTAATGGGAAATATATCACCAAGCCTGATATGTTTATATCCAGCCTCAAAGAATATTTTTTTTTATGAAGTGGACTTTTACATGACATTTTACCTTTAAAAAAATGTTCACAATTTACTTTATACTTACGTTGGTTGGACCAAGATGATGGGTCAAACTCGAATGCCTCAGGCCCTCAGATTTACTAAAAAGTAAAAAAATGAACCTCTTCTTTCTTGCAAACTTGACCACGGTCATACCAACTTGGCCCTGTTTCACCGGTGATAGCAGCACGCTGCTATTACGTTTCGCGAGCTGACGTCATGTCATGACGCCATACTGCTGACGTTATGGGCAGTTCCGGCGCACGATGGCCGCAACCTTGGCTGCGGCCAAGGTTGCGGCGTTTATATAGCGGGGTTTATATAGCCTTGGCTGCGGCATTAAGTGACGTATGAGCCTAATAGTAAGAGTTTACGCAGTCATTATATTATATTTGATTTTAATTTATATTTTTTTAAATATGATGTATTTAAAAAAAAAAGTTAAGTTTAAGGAAAATTTGGACGTAAACTTCGAACATTTAGTTGATGACGTAAAACAATATTGCGGCAATCGTGCGCCAGAATTGCCCCTTACGTCAGCAGTATGATGTCATCACATTACGTCAGCTCGCGCAATTTGATAGTAGCTTGCTGCTATCACCGGTGAAACACCTGGGTGAAACAGGGCCCTTGACAAACCAAATACAGATTACGGTCGTCAAGTTAGATGTAAGTGAATCCTAATCTATAATCTAAGATTCGGAATCAGGTGAGCCCCTACGATTTGGACCAAACTTGGTCAGTGGATAGTACGTAACGTCCTGATTACGATGCACCCAAAATCTAAGCTCGGCCCGCCATATTTACGAAGTTACGGATGTTTGAATTTCAAGGTCATTCTGGAGAGCCCCTGCGATTCCCGTCAAAATTTGTGTACGGACACTCTAGATGCTCCTCATTACGAATATCACAAAATTTAAGCTCGGCCCGCCATATTTACGAAGCTACGGAGGTTTGAATTTCAAGGTCATTTGAGAGGGCCCCTGCGATTTCCGTCAAAATTGGTATACGGACATATTACATCCTCCTCATTACAAATATCATAAAAGTTAAGCTCGGCCCGCCATATTTTTCAAGTTACGGAGTCACAAAGTTACGGAATTTCAAGGTCATTCGGAGAGCCCCTCCGATTTTCGTCAAAATTTGTATGCGGACACATTACATGCTCCTCATTACGAATATCGTAAAAGCTAAGCTCGGCCCGCACTATTTCAAAAGTTAGAGATGTTTGAATTTCAGTGAATTTCAAACGTCAGTTACTTTTGAAATAGTGCGGGCCGAGCTTAGCTTTTACGATATTCGTAATGAGGAGCATGTAATGTGTCCGCATACAAATTTTGACGAAAATCGGAGGGGCTCTCCGAATGACCTTGAAATTCCGTAACTTTGTGACTCCGTAACTTGAAAAATATGGCGGGCCGAGCTTAACTTTTATGATATTTGTAATGAGGAGGATGTAATATGTCCGTATACCAATTTTGACGGAAATCGCAGGGGCCCTCTCAAATGACCTTGAAATTCAAACCTCCGTAACTTCGTAAATATGGCAGGCCGAGCTTAAATTTTGTGATATTCGTAATGAGGAGCATCTAGAGTGTCCGTACACAAATTTTGACGGAAATCGCAGGGGCTCTCCCGAATGACCTTGAAATTCAAACATCCGTAACTTCGTAAATATGGCGGGCCGAGCTTAGATTTTGGTGCATCGTAATCAGGACGTTACGTACTATCCACTGACCAAGTTTGGTCCAAATCGTAGGGGCTCACCTGATTCCGAATCTTAGATTATAGATTAGGATTCACTTACATCTAACTTGACGACCGTATACAGATTCAGACATCTCTTGTCCTCAAAAATGACTCTATTCATACAGTGAAAGTTATAAACATCTCTCGGAGAAACACCAATCCAAGCCTCGAACGCTTGTTTGTTGCTAGGCAATTTGTCAATCAAAAAAATCGCTGACTGGTTTTGTACTCTATCGAACAGTATTCAACGTGGACTAGCAATTCATTCTTCTTTTTGTTATGGTCCCTCAAAAGTGTCTTCTTTTTCTTTTGTATGCTTTTGCTATTTTTTTTTGGTATAAAAAGGAAAAAAATTACCTATTTGAGTACGGAAATGAACTTGTGCACATAAAGCGCACGTAGAAAATGAGTTGTTACAGCGTTATCTTAAAAATCTCTTAATTCCGTTATTTTGCAGTGATTTAGTGATCAGCTGTTGATATGAAAACTTGCCATTTATGGTGCACTTGTGCAAATGTTTGCGCGAAAAGGCTGGGAGGGTGCGTGTGAAAAAAAAATAATTAGGGCGTCAGGGGGTGGAGGCTGGGATTTGAATGGAGTGTTTGTTAGCGCGTAATTGGGGCGAGCAGGAGGTAGTTGGATTTGCGGTTTTTATTCTATACAGTGTAAAGTTGCACTGAAAATGTACACCTGCAGCAACTTAACTTTCTAATCTTCTCATCATTTTTCTCACAAAAGAAAGCTCTTGATCACAACCATGCGAGCCAAAAAGTGTGATGCTGGTCCAGCCTGCTGAGTTGTTTCTGTGCTTAATTCAATGCTCCTTGATTGTTGAGGTAGTGCTTGATGCTTGACTTTTTTACACGTGAAGCTCCATTTCCCGAATTCAACTTACAGAGAGTAAGGTTACTAAGGGGTGACATGCCATTTGCGCACCAAATGTTGCATGTCAGCATTTCTGTGCCCCCTGACAAGCTTACAAACAGGTCAATCCCCTAAAAAATTTACGTCAAAACTTTGAAAGCTGAAAGCTCAGTAGGCGGAACTATGGTCAAGCGTACCCATTTTCGGGAACGCATTTTCGTTCCCATGTTTGGGAACGATAAACCCAAATATGGGAACGCCATGTAGGCATTATTTAAAACAAGAAAAAGAACCGTTAAATGACGTCCAAAAAATATAAAACGATCGTGAACCACCTGATATTTGTCTCAATATTGTTGGGAAAGAGTTTGATATTGTAAGGCCCATCGTAGTTTCAAATCGTTCCCCTATTTGTAAAGCAGACCATCATCCGGGCCGCGAGCCCAAATTTGGGAACGCTCTCGTACACTGGCGCTGCAAGCGTTCCTTATTATGGGAACGGCGTACCCAAAATTGGGAACGATTTCACCGACGCCTTTCAGGGGCTCTTTTCATTAACAAGCATCACGTCCAACGCCGCAACTTATTGTTAACGCAACAATCATCAGATGACCTTTCCGGCAAGACCGTCGCATGTTTCGCCCGGTCTTCTGCGCTTTTATTCCCGTCGATCTCGCAGCGGGCACGCCCCCCTCTGCAGGATTACGTAATTCACAACGCTCAGCGATGTTCAACAAGGTCTTCCATACCTATATCCACCGTCCGCGCCGAGGGTGGAGACATGTCAAGCACCTGTCTGTTTATCACCGATAGTTGACGAGCACAAGGGAGTATCCAAAAATGGGAACGCTGAATATGTTACACCCTCAAAACACCTAGTCCCAATGAAAATCTAGTTTTTTCCTTTCTTGATGAGTGTAAGTGGCAAAAGGCCTGGTAGGATGGGCACGAGGAATGATCGAAATCAGCATAAAAATTATAAATAAGCCACACAGAGCGACCTATATAAGAGAAATTCCCCCAAAACGATCACGCTTAGAAACACGGAAGACAAAAACCACGCTCATGACGCTCCTTATAAAACAACTCTAAACAGCTGGCATCCAAATAAAATATGTCTATCTGGGATGATATAATACAGCTGAATAATTTTAAACCACTGAAACTAAGTTTACAACAGTAGTTCGGTAAAATCACTGACGTTCCATGCGGTCGTGCGCCCAGACACCAAATGTCACCAATATTACCCCCGGACTGTCCGCGTGTTCGCTTGCATATGTCAGCATCTGGTGTCGCTAGTATGAAACTTCATAACCAGGCGAAAATTATTATACTTGACCTCAAAATGTAAAAACCGCTTCATTTTCCTTAAAATTGCAAGTTAAATGTAGTACAACCCATGTTTTCAGCATTCCGCCATTTCAAAAAATCATTAAAAATATCATTCGACGGTCAATTTCCTCGTGCAACGGTCAGATTAAAGATAATGTTATAGAGACTTAGTAGATACTTAAATTAGCGTGCACTTTTTTGAGACGTGATGCACTAATGAGTTTTAGTGGGCGAACGGCCGAAAAATTGAACGCCCGTTCCCATATTTGGGAACTCCGTTCCCAAAAATGGGAACGTTCCTATATTTGGGTACCCATGACCATAGTTCCGCCTACTGAGCTGAAAGCTGTTCAAAGTTTGTCATGGGGGCCCTATCTCCATCACCCATGCATTTGCGTGCGGCAAGTGGTGCAGCGCTGTCATTTATTCAGCTCATGGACTGGCAACTGATGAAATAAACTCTATTTAGGGGTGGTGGCTTCTAGTTTTGCTGCTAGTTCAAAGCCAAAATAGATTCTTACTGAGCTAATCTCATGAATGAGATGCCCATATGTTCTTAATTGCTTAGATTCATTGCATATTCAATAAGCTAGGATATTGAAGAGCCAAGCCCCATGGATCCATCCCCTCAGCTTAACTCAACTTTTAGACAAATTTGAGCCAACTGAAATTGTTTTTTCTTGCACAGCCATAACATATCAATATCAGCAGGAAACAGGTGCATGAAATGGATAGCTGTCTAAGAAATGGCATCAGGAAAGACATAACATTGAATGCACATGCTTACTCCTATCTCAATGCAAGGCCAAACTTAGCATTTTCAATATCATAGTTTGAAGAGGAGAAGGCATATTCATCTTAATCTTTCCTGGCTAATATACTTTTTAAATAGCTAGATCATGAATAGGTATTTAACATAATGTAGCATATTCTGGAATGATATGTTGTGATAAGTTTGTTAATGGATAAGAACTTATAAATCACATTATTTCTGGTAGGACCAATGGGATTGTGTAGCCAGCAGCAAGCCTTGCTTTTTCTAAACCAATGTTGGATGTGCTTGGGCAAGGCACATACAAATGAAAGAATTATTAGCTTCTTTGAATTATCTCATTTCACATGTCATTTGTATGCATTTAGAAAATTGAATTAATTGTAGATTACCTAGTTATGTTTGCTTTCATTTATAATGATGTCCACATGATCATCAATGATTGGGTTACTTTGTTTGGCATAACAGTTAATTTTCTAACCATGCTAAGCTAACCCTCAATATTGTTTTTCAGGACACATCCAATTTTATGAGTACTAAGGTCAACACTGGTAGTAACATTCAGTGTAAAATACACATCAGCTGTTAATTGGTAAGGATCCTGTGTTTTGTTTTCCATATGATTGCACTCCATATGTTGATACGACCAGCCATAACTTGAATCATGTATTTTCTTTGCTTTTCACTTGTTAAACTTTTATGAGAAATACAGCTTTGAAGCAATGATTAAAGCATCCTTCCCTGGTTCAATATCCAATATGTGATTTCCAGAATAGTCTCTAAGCTGTCATTATCTGATATTTCTTATCTTGTCGACCTTATCTTGTCCTCATCTTCTCCCACTGCCATTCAAAGTTCATTGTTGTGAACTTGTGACCAACCTCTCCTCTCTTCACCCAGAGTGCAGTGCTCTGACTGCCCTCTCGTCCGCGGCAGGCGACGGTGGACGACAGTCGGTGGGCGTCATGTCGCTCAGACCTCGTCAGGTGGACTTTGACACCACCTGGGGCGGCATTCGGGAGACGCTCTCGGGCGTCATCACTCTCGGCGCCGTACCGCGGGACGTGTGGAACGACCGTTTCGCCGACGTGTACGCCCTGTGCGTGGCTTACCCGGAGCCACAGGCGGCGCGACTCTACACCGAGATCAAGGCGTTCCTGCGCGACCATGTGGAGCACCTACAGCGTCAGATCCGACAGGCGGGCGAGGCCAACCTGCTCACCTGTTACCACAAGGCCTGGTTCGTGTACAACAAGGGCTCCCACTACCTGGACAAGCTGTTCATCTACCTCAACATCCAGCACCTGAAGAAGAAGAAGGTGACGCTGTCGGACCTCATCTACGGCGGATACGAGGCGGACGGCGACTCGGCCATCCTGGAGATCCGCGAGCTCAGTCTGTCGCTTTGGCGACGCCACATGATCGAGCCGTTCCAGGACGCCCTGGTGCACCAGCTGTTGGAGCGCATCAACACGTACCGCAAGGGCGGGCTACCCGACGGCGAGCACGGCGTCATCCGTGACGTCATTCAGTCGCTGGTCGACGCCGAGGGCTACAAGAAGGCCAACGAGCTCGAGCTGTACGAGACGGTGTTCGAGAAGGCCTACCTGCGCGCCAGTGGGGAGTACTTTGGCCGCACGGCCAGCCAGCTGCTGCTCGAGTGTGACGTGTACGGCTACATGGCGCGCGTGCTGCAGGTGATCGCCGACGAGCAGCTGCGCTGCATCAGCTACCTCAACTCGAGCTCTCACGGGCGCGCGCTGGCCGAACTACGGGCCCGGCTGGTCGAGGACCACCTGGAGCTGATCCTGGCAGAGGTGCCCACCATGGTGCGCGAGGAGCGCCGCGACGACCTGCGCCACCTGTACGAGCTGCTGCGGCCACTGCAGCGACCGGAGCCGCTGCAACAGCTGGTGCGTCAGCTGGAGGAACACGTCAGGACGGTGGGCGTGCAGCGACTGATGTCTGCGCGCGGCACCGACAGCCCGGCTGCCTTCGTTGACACAGTGCTGCACGTGCACTCCAAGTACTCGGGCCTAGTGAGCGAGGTGTTCCGAGACGACCAGCTGTTTACGGCGGCTCTGTGCCGCGCCTGCTCAGCCGTGGTCAACCACCGCGGCGCCGGCGACCGCCACTGCGCCGCGCCAGAGCTGCTCGTGCGCTACTGCGACTCGCTGCTGAAGAAGTCCACCAAAGGCGTCACAGAGTCGTCTCTGGAGGAGCGACTCGCCACGATCGTGACCATATTTAAGTTTGTCGAAGACAAGGATGCGTTCCAGAAGCACTACCAGAAGTTCCTCTGCAAGCGACTCATGTACGACAACACGGTGAGTCTGGACTCTGAGGAGGTGATGGTGACCAAGTTCAAGCAGACCTGCGGCTACGACTTCACCAACAAGCTGTCGCAGATGCTGCGCGACGTGAACGTGTCTCAGGAGCACACGCAGCGGTTCTGCGCCTTCCTCACCGAGCGCGGCGTCACGCTCAACCACAACTTGGCCATCAAGGTGATCCAGTCGGGCGCTTGGCCCATCCCCATCACCAGCATCGTAGAGTTCCGCGTCCCCCAGCAGCTCGAGCAGAGCATCACCAACTTTGAGGAGTTCTACAAGGGCAAGTTCAGCGGCCGCAAGCTGTCCTGGTTCCACCACCTTAGTCATGCCGAGCTGCGGCTCGGCTACCTGCCGCGGATGTACCTGGTGACGCTGCACACCTTCGCCATGGCCGTGCTGGTACTGTTCGAGACGGCTGACTCGCTGTCTGTGGATGAGATCCAGCTCACCACCGGCCTGCCGGACGACCACCTGGCGCGTAACGTCCAGGCGCTCGTGGACGCCAAGCTGCTGACGTGCGACCGCTCGCCCGCCTCCGAGCCGGGCGCCGTGCTGACGCTGAACACAGAGTTCAGCAGTCGGCGTACTCGGTTCCGTGTCCAGACCGCGCCGGCGCCGCGCGAGGCCCAGACTGAGGTGGAGCAGACACAGCGCGAGGTAGACGAGGGCCGAAAGATGTGCCTCCAGGCGGCTATCGTGCGCATCATGAAGGCGCGGAAGCGACTCCGACACAACGAGCTGGTGCAGGAGGCGCTCGGCCAGACCCGTTCCCTCTTCACGCCGCAGATACCCATGATCAAAAAGTGTATCGACGTGCTGATAGACAAAGAGTACCTGGCGCGCGTTGCCGATGCGCCGGACGAGTATAGCTACGTGGCGTGAGTGGTGCCCCTGGCGCGGCGGTGCGTGTGCCTGTGCGTGCGAGCCCGCTGCGGCTCGAACGCTCCTGGTCAGTGCTATTGGCGGGCTGTTGCGCTAAATGTGAAGTGCGTTTATTGTGTCGCGCTGGATTTGTACGTCGGCGTGCTGTTGTGCTCTTTAAACCTTGCTGAACGATTGGCGAGAGCGGCCCTGGCTGTGGCGATGTTGACCTGTGAAACTTGGAGCTCGATTGCTAGCAGTGTGATGAATAGTTTGAGCACGGCGTTCCGTCAGCAGGGAGGGAAGGGGCTGAAGGAGGATAGATAATACGATCCGTGCATAACTGCTGTTTGCGGCGATTGTCATGGTGTGCCCGTCTCGACTGGCTCGTGAGAATCTGCCTGCAGCGGCAACACAGTATACCCAAGAACAACCTAGCCGATGAAATCCGATGAGTATACCAAACTGGATTGTCAACATTTGCCGGTTGACAATGTCGGGAGCTTCTTGTGGTTGTGGAATTCGAAACCCATCTCTTGCCTGACTGCAAAGAACATTTGTGTGTGTACTTAAGTGTTTCCTTGACGCTCTGGAGTGAACTATGTATGTTGCAGACGTAAGCCCTTCCTCTCCTCCCTAGCTGGTGTTGTAGCCGGCCGTTTTACATGACGCTATGATACAAGGTGCAATGTAGCCACCCAACAGTGTGCTGCCATGGTCTGATAACATTATCATGTGGCAATATAGCGGAAAGTTTGCTAATGCTCGCTGAGCATGGTTCAGTAGGACGGGTATTCCCCTTCAGAGTAGCTTGGTGAGTGTTCGAGTCATCGACAAACGGTCGCCAAGTGCCCGGCTCGACCCGAGGTTACCTTATGGTTAACGTTTCTAACAGCAGAAAACTGGCTTCACCCGTTCGCTCTCCGTCCTAGCTGTGTATTTCTGCGGCACACTAACCGTGACTGACCCCCACATCCCCGCACTTCCTAACCAGTTACGTCTGTCATTACTGCTGACCCACCTCGGACGATAATGGGGCGGGCCAAAAGTTGAAACAAAGAATGTGCCCCGCTCCCTAAAGCAGCAAATACCGCCCCCCCTGTCCCGTTTCCATTGAGGTCGGGCGAAACAGCAGCGCTTGTCGGCCCTTTGATGATTCCAGTCTACATGCTAGCTGCAGACCTCTGAGACTACTGTGAGCCGCCGCCGCCGCCGCCCGCTGTCTCACAACCGGGGAGCGTGGCGGTGGGGACTTCCCCGTCATCTAAACATCAGCTGTCACTGGTATCGGTCACAGGGGCCCAGTCTCCCTACTAACCCCGGACGGTGCGGCCCCGTCCCGACCGTGCACCGTCACTCTGCACAACTTGAGCACAACCCTTCCTCTCAACTCACTAAAATCGTGGCATTTGTCCATGCACTGCACGACACGCAAGAGTACCCTTCATTGTTGCAAACACTCCTCCACCGTCCCGGGCAAGAACACTAGCTGTTTATTACTGAGATAAAAATGACATGACAGCTGGAATAAATAGCAATTCACGCGCGCTGTGCGGCCGAACATTCGCGTCCAGACGTAAACCTATCGGTGTCGGCGCGGCGCACGCGCGCGCTCCTCCACCGGGCGGCGGAGGCGCGCGAACGCAGAGAGAGAGAGAGCGAGAGAGCGATGCGCAGAGAGGGCTGGGCAGAGACAAGGAGCGACAGAGCACAGAGAAACAGTGGCGACCATCGCGCCAGAAACCCAGACGGTGTCCACAGGGCAGAATCGCGGTCACGTGCACACATTTCGGTAGAGAACAAACAAAACAGCTCGGGGGCGGCGTGACGTGTGGTGTGGTGGTGTATGTGGGCGGCGGCAGCGGCGGCGGCGGCGGCGGCGGCCAGTGACGGTGACACACACGCGGCCAGCGCGCGACGCGGCGGAGGCGGCGCCGGCGTCCCGGTCCAGTCCGTGTTTTGATTGGCTGACACTCACGGCACACCTGCGCGCCGCGCGCGGGCGCCGTCCGGCCGGCTGACCCGGCGCGAGCGAGACTTTGTACACTGGCGGCGTCCGGTGGCGGTTCGGCCGGCGGCGGCGGCGGCGGCGGCCGAGTTCGTTCACATGGTCACTGCCAGGCGCCGCCACGGCTTGCGGGCGGCTCGGCGCAGCTCCGGCGGCGTCAGACGGCGGCGCATCCGCCTGCGGGCGGGCAGACGGTCAGTCGGGACCAGAAGTCATGGGACGTGCTACATGAAAACTATATTTTTTTTTCGAAGTCATTCTTCTGGGAAATAACATAGCTCAAAACTTGAATTTGCACATCCTACACAAGGACGCAGTGAGATAGCAATGTCAGGATGTGAATATGGCACACTCGACGCCGAAGGGTACGAACAGACACAACAACAGACATGCACCATCAACATTCCCCAAATACCCGGTAAACAATCTCAAGAAACGAAACGTCTTATCCTAGGCAGATATCCACTATCGCATCTTCCAAAACAGCGCGACAAAGCACCAAACGCCACCCAAACACTTTCCCCTCCCTCATCACTCCCCCAGCTCTCGATTGCTCAGTTGGAGTTAGTACTGGAGTTGGCCACCTAACCCCACCTAAACCCTGTTCCCACTCCCACATTCCATCATCTTGCCATCATCTCTTGACCCTTCCCTCCCCGTCTCCGTCACTCACTTGGTATTGGCGTTGGCCACCTACCCCTACCCAAACCCTGTTCCCACTCCCACATTCTCTCATCCCCTTCCCGTCTCCGTCACTCACTTGGTATTGGCGTTGGCCACGTGGAACACGTCGTCGGGCGCGTCCGCCAAGGGGATCACCTTCTGACGTCCGCCGCCCAGTCGGGTGACGGCTGCGATCTTGGCCCGGCCGCCGCCGTTCACGTGGTTCCCCGAGCGAGGGGCCGCCGGCTGCACAGGCAGGTTGTCAGCGAGAGGAGTTAGAGGAACGATGTCAGCTGGTCAAGCAGCACACAAACCGGCGAAGTTGGCTTAACAGGACTGGTTAGTTGGAATCACGATGAACATGTCGAAGTAAGGCGAAAAACACGGCCGTGATAGCTCAAGCTGTAAATGGGGGCCATTCGACGAGCTATGGCACATTTTCCCTATAACGGCTTAGGCACAAAATCGTGAATAACTAGTCCAAACATCGCATTCAACCATATCGGACAGCATTGCGCACGGTAGCTTACTCTCAAGAAAACGGAAAAACGATCCCCTAGACGATCCAAAAGGACAACTGCATCATCTGCAACTGGCTTTGCACTTCAATGTGCACGGGTTGGTTGTCTGTATCCTTCCTGCACTCGGCGGTGCCGCGGCGGTGTGTGATCTGACCACTCCCTCACAGACCACCCCACACCCTTCCCTTCCCGGCCTCCCCAGGCTCACTGGGCCGGGCTCACTCACCGGTGGCGCCGCAGTGGGGGCCGGGATCGGTGTGATCGACACAGAGTCGCGGGGACGCTTCGAGATGCTCACTGGAACACAGACACGGACGGCGTGTGGTCAGTTGCGAGCGACCACACAGATAAAGTGCAGATTTTGTCACTGGGAATATACACACAACGACGAGCAATGCCTGCCTGGTTGACTGGCCAAGCCATCAGCTGTCCTCTCCCCGGCTGTCTATAACACCGTCCCTTCCCCCACATACCATCGATGCCGTTGGTCTCCTCGTAAGGTCGCTTCCTCATCAGTGTGACGCTCGAGTTGAGCTGGATCTTGCTCTCGACTGGTGTGTAAATGAGACTGCCGTCTGTCGAACAGCAAAAACAAGCCAGGTCAGCGGTCGCTACTTAGGTGATGTAGTTTAAAAGGAACAGTGGGCTAAAGACAAAATGAATACGCATCTCTAAAACATCCCTGTGTAATTGTATTCAAAAACTTGATATAACGATTGTGATATTCACTGATCTTGATATTATTCAACCCTAATGAAACTGTACAGCAGCACAGAAAGACGCAGTATTTTCTGCCGACCTAACTTTCACAAAAACACAAAGCAGTCCTTTGTTCCGAGTTTGCCCGCTCCAGTTCGTACACTAAGCCGCACATCACGCCAGAATCAGTGTTAACAGATTTCTCCCGAACATGACGAGAGGCGTCGTCACGCCTGGATCCAGTACACTTGTCAGGGCAGGACGTGACATGACGCCACGAGATGAGGCTCCCAGTCCGGCACAGGGGCCCCACTCTGGTCGCCGTGGGCACTGCCAGTTGGAAGCGATAGGCTGGCGACAGTCCACGGAGGAAGAAAGGGGAGGGATGGAGGATAGGAATGCGGAGAAAACAGAGGAGCGAGGGGGAGGAAAGGAAGGAGTAAACTATGACGAAGAGAAAAGGAGGGAGGGAGGGGAGAGAGAGAGAGAGAGAGAGAGAGAGAGAGAGAGAGAGAGAGAGAGAGAGAGAGAGAGAGAGAGAGAGAGAGAGAGAGAGAGAGAGAGACCGCCCAACCCTATACCGACTGTTACACTCCCATGGCAGCACACAGCTCTACCATGGCACGACGTACCGGGCGCCTTGGGCGGCTTGGGGAAGGCGACGCGGTTGGGTTGCGGCGCCGGCCCGGGCGCCGGCACCATCCACTCGGGGTGCTGCAGCTGGTGGCCCAGCTTGGGCCCGATGGCGGCCGCCGTGCCCCGGTCGCGCGGCTTGCAGCGCGCCTGCAGTAGCGCCTGCAGTTCCTCCTCACTGCGCTCCGACATCAGCTGGCTGCCTGCTCGGAGAACACAAGGGGACAGACGTCAGCTCAGCTACACGGCAGGCTAAAGAACCAACCCACTCGCTCCGACATCAGCATCTGTAGCAACAATATAGACACAGGGGTGAATTTACGGTAGAATTAAACCTTACTCGCTCCAACTTCAGCTGGCTGCCTGCTCGGTGCAAACGGTAACAAAGACGTCATGACATGCATGGATGTAATGCAAGGCAGGCTTTAACTGAAATATTTAAACGTTTAGCTCCAGAACAACACTAGACGTCGCATTATTGTTTTTCGACGACAAACATACACGTTGACTCGATTACTAACATAAAACAGAACACTAGCAAAAGTTATGAATGTTCCAAGAGATAAAATATCACGCCGGACACGTTTCGTTTTAACCGTCTGGCATGGCTTTACTCTCCACACAGGCAGCTCGCTGGTTGCCGGCCCGCCCCTCCCGGCCCACTCACACTCGGCGCGTATGGCGGCCACGTTGATGGCGTGGATGGGTGTGCGCGCGGCGCGCCGCGGCTTTATCAGGTGTCGGCACAGCCGGCGCGACAGGCGCGTCATCGGCGTGGGCGCCAGGAAGAAGCTGGGCCGTGTGCGTGTGACGGGCCGCGTGCTGCCCGTGCCCGGCAGCAGCAGGCCGTGCGCGTTGGCCGCGTGCCGGATCAGCTGGCCGCGCTGGCGGAACTCCTGCGGACAGCCGGACGCCGGACAGCGGTGCAGCTTCACCAGCGAGGCTGAGCCGGCCGAGTGTTCGCTCTCGCCGCCGGCAGAGGGCGGTCGCTCGGCGCCGGCGCCCTCCTCCACGTTCGGTTTGAGCACGCCGCCGTACTTTTTCCAGCGGTCCCAGCAGGCGGCGCAGAGCCGACCGCCCAGGTGCGCGGCACCCCACGAGTACCACTGCGCCGAGTGCGTCTCTGGGGGCGGGCCAGACAGACACGTTACACACGAACAGCAAAGGTGGAACGACTAGGGACAGGGCAGCGGTCGGTGGCAGAGAAATGGCAATTATATCATACCGACAAAAGC